AGTAGAACAGTGTAAATATTGATAAAATGATGTTAAGATTACCATCAGAAATACTTATCTAGTTTTATGCATAAAAATCATTCACAGTATAAAAAGAATGTTCATGCAAATAATTTTTAATAATTTAATATCACATGCCAAGACCTTAATGTCAGCTGGAAGATGGTTATATATCTTAACGCCTGTGTAGGTGGGACTTTTATGAAACATTGTCAAGTAAGTCATTACTTCAAAAAAGAAAAAAATAGAATTATTCCTGGTATTAAAATTATGAATTTCAGAATTTTGTCTAAAGAGTGATTTATTGGTAACCATGAACAGAGCCGAGGAGAGTATGTACTGAGATGCTAGAGATAGTATATTTAAAATTTTAAAAAAATTTCTGCAAGAATCCCTGGGGCTTGCTTCCATTAATATTCTAACCATGCACTTTTGGAGTCTGAAAATATTCATAATACCAGGCAATACTGTTAGTTTCCTGGTAAAGGAAATAACTGTACTTTTACTAGCATTTAGTATCATATCACTGTCCAAACATCAAGTCTTAACAATGTCTACATTACACTATATAAGCTTACAATCCTCAGTATTTGTGATACTACATTACATCTTAAAATAATCAATAGCAAAAGTCCTAAAGGGGATCCTTGTGGAACACCAGGCTTCACAGTACAGAGAGAACAAAGAGAGCTAAACACACACACTGAGGTGTGTGTATATGTCAAGTAGCTATGAAACCAATTAACATAGTGTGATACTTGCAGTCTGTGACAAGGCTATACAAGGGCAAACAAGGCATGGTTGCACAGGCCTGCCCCATCTCTGCTGAGCCACAACCAACAAGTACCAAGTGAGTCAATTCAGACTTCTAATGTAAACAGTTCATCTCTGAATGACATGTTCAAAGTAGTCACAATGGTATTCTGGCAGATCGTGACAGAATTCAACATGGCTAGTTAGTTAGTTATTGGAGAGGGTGGGTTTCCCCATGCACTGAGACCTGTATTGGTCCATTGTGCTTCCCTCTATGATATTCTACCAGTCTCTATATCCTACCGGTACTGGTGCTTACCATCAGTCCCGCCCAGCCAGCGAGACCAGCTCTACTAGCTGAGAGGTATCTATAATGCTTCCCCCATCTACCAGAGGTATTAGAGACTGCTGTTGGGCAGGAAACGTCCGTAATTTGGCTCAGTGACCTCCTTTGGAGATATGAGGTTCTTTTACGTGCCGTAGAGCTACGACACGGGACCCACGGCTTAAAGTCCCTCCCGGAGGACTTGTTCCCTGAATTTTTCTGCCCTTAAAAATTTGACGACCTCCGCCGGGTATTTGAACCCGCGTACTACGAGTCATGAGGTGGGAATGTTACCTCTAGACTGTGGAGGCCGCTTTCAACATGGCTAAGTCAGAAGACAGAAAAGTGGCCATCATAAAAATTGTATTAAAACTTGTGAAGCAAGATTGACATGTATTGCTGGCTATGACTGCGACAAATGACAGACCCATCCTCTCGTCAGTGAGGGTGCCCCACATCAATAAAGCTGCAACTGTCTCACAGTATTAAAAATTTGTTCTGGGCCCCAGGAGGGGCTTGACACGAAGACTGACTGGCTCACTGTCAGTCATAATGTGATTTTGACTTTAATTTAATTAGTGGTGAGATGGCAGACAGCCAGCAATGTCATGGACACAGAAGCTGACGACTCTCCATTGCTGGGAGCTGATACCAGGCAACAACTGATGAAGACACAGCAAACTGAGAAGACTTAGCATGTGCTGTAGTGAGAAGCAGAGTGCATGAATAAGTGACAGCATTATAAATTATTTGTAGTTATGAGTTACAAGAGTTCAATAAATCCAGTTACGAATTCATACCCCATGAGCAATCTCTAACATGTGACAATACTTATACATTCCATAGTTGCAGTAGTTAATGGTATGATTCTTACTTACTTATCTACTCATGGAGCTGAGCCCTTCTGGAGGAGCCGCCAATTCTGCAGCTACTCAAGAATTTCCCAGCATTTTATGGAACCTGAAGGTTCATCACCATGTTCACAAGAGGCCTCCACTGGTCCCTATCCTGAACCAGACCTCTCCAACCTACACCATCCCACCTTGTCTCTCTGAGATCTGTTCTCATATTGTCCACCCACCTATGCCTTGGTCTTCCCAGTGGTCTCTTTCCTTCTGGCTTTCCCACCAATATCCTATATGCATTCGTCTCCCCAATTCATGCTACATGCCCTGCCCACCTCATCCTCCTTGACTTGATCATTCTAATTATACTTGGAGAAGAGTACAAGTTATGAAGCTCCTCTCCAACCTCCTGTCACTTCATCCCTCTTTGGTCCAAATATTCTCCTCAACACCCTGTTCTCAAACACCCTCAGTCTATGTTCCTCCCTTAATGTCAGAGTCCAAGTTTCACACCCATACAGAACCACAGACAAAATTATAGTTTTGTATATTCTAGGTATGATTCTAGGGGTACTATTATTAAAAGTAAACATACCAGATCAGGTATTATGTAAATATCAGTAAGTGATAAAAATTGAGCATATAAGAATTTTAAATAGAGTTGATAATATTTCAACCCTTATGGGATGGTCAGAAGCCTCCTGCATTACACAGTATGCTCCATAAAATGTTATCTTCACTTACAGGTGCTGTAGGGAAGGTTACAAAACAGGAAAACATTTACTTTCATTCCACGCTCCTAACGACCTCTGCAACATCTCCTATAACTTAATGATACTATGTATACTCATCATCATCATCATCACCACTGTTTTCAGAGTGACTGCTAGTGATCATAAACGTCTAATTTAACAACTGCAATAGCCATATCATATTGGCCTTACCTCACTCCAGGGACCCTGACCACAGGAATTGAGACCTGCAACTCTGAATTTATATGCTGTTCCTGGCTCCAGCTGGATCTTTGTCATCATGGAGTAGTCAGGAAGATTATCAGTAGTCACAGTGTCCTGATCATGGTCTTGATTGATATCATCCTTGCTGTCTGACTGTACATAAAACATGGTAACCGTGCATGATGTGCCTTTGATGACACCTACATCATGCCATAAAGGCAATTCTTTCTTCTTTATATTTTCAGCTATGGGAGTTTGTGCATGTTCTTGCTTTACTTTCATGTCCTGCCAACATTAAAGACATTGGTTACCATAAATTATTCAAGAAAAACATAATTTAGGCAAGCAACTGTAAATACACCACAACCTTAGTAATATGAACTACATTAATCCAAACTGGCACCTTCAAAAATTACAAATGTAATACACTTATTTTACTTCTTTGCAGTAAAAATGAAATTCATGTGAAACATGATAAAGGTGTAACGTGGTTAATGACTGAGCCTGGTGCACAGTCAAACGTTGACTACATTACAGAAGTATAATAATTTACAAAGGTATGGTTGTTTATATATTGTGAGGCATAGATATATTGCTGGGCAAAGACCCAGTAAACATCCCATGGCAATGAATAAGGAACAACAGAGATATTTGTTGCTAGGCAATCCGTCCTCTTGTCAAAGAGGGCGCCACACAAAAATAAGACTGTAACGGTCAAACAGTTATTTTTAATATCTGGTCATGAACCCCACATGGGGCTCAACACCAAGACTTACTGACTGACTCACCGTCAGTCGCAATGTAACTTTGACTTTGACTTGAATTGACAGCTCCACCCATGTGGAGGCTGGGTCGAATACCTCCACCGTGACCCTGTGAGTTGTAGGAGGCAACAAAAAGGGAAGTCTCAAATCTGAGACAGTAAAATATGATCCCAAGGGGCTTGGACCCAAAAAAGACTGCGTTGGAAAGGGCCAGCAGAATATACTAAAGACAGACCCATCCTCTGGTCAGAGAGGGTAACCCACAGAAACAAGACCGTAACAGTCAAACAGTAATAAATATTTGGTCATGACCCCAGATGGGGCTCGATACCAAGACTATTGACTGACTGACTGTCAGTTGCAATGTGACTTTGACTTGAATTGACAGTTATGTACATATACGATTATATAACAAAATTATGCAGGCAAAAAGCAGAAGTCATACAAAATGATGGTAACAAGAATATTCGCAATATTGGGCAAGATGAAGCCAGGCATAGAAAGTATAAGAGTCTTAAACTTGGCGGCAGTCGAGAATACGACCGTTTAAGTGACCACACTGCTGTTGTAGCGGAAGCTACTGGAAACTGCATAATCTGCTGTACTGAGCATACATTTATTAACACATTTAACATGTAAAATGTAAATACCCTTTAAATTATGACAAATGACTTCTGCAAACAATGACTCTTAACAAAGACAGGCCCGTCCTCTCACCAGAGAGGGCACCCCACAATAACAAGATCATAACTGTCAAAGAGTAATAAATATCTGGTCATAAGCCCCATCAACACCAAGACTTACTGACTAACTGACTGACCGACCGCCAGTCGCAATGTTACTTTGACTTTGACTTTGAACTGACAGTTCAGTTGGAGGAGCAGCATGGCAAAAAGTCAAGAGCATCCACTCGAAGACACCGATTTGTGAAATGTTGTAAATCATCAAATCCAAAACCTGTTTTATAAGTCACGCAAACCCCTAATTCGTGACAATATTAAATGTACCTATAATTCTTTGAGTAAATAATTTTAGTAAACAATTTGAAAATTTTATTGGAAATCAGGAATCTGAATGATTTGAGAGTCTGACCACACCACTGCTTTAATTAATTTGGAGAACTGAGGTTCTCCTATGCATTCCAGACAAAATATAAACACTAAATCTGGAAGGAGTGGTAAGAGAAGATTAATATAAAATCCACCAGGGATAACAGTTTGGTAGGGCTATGAAACTGGATGTTTGTTGGTGATGCATCACAGAGAAATACTAAAAAGAAAAATGTCTTTCAAACACAAACTAATAATAAAGCAAGTTCTGTGTACTTAAAATCTGATGCAGATGAATAAATTCTAGAGGCACAAATAATAATAAGTGATAAGATCATTCCTAAAACTCAACAGTATTTCTTATTAAAAAACAAAAGAAATTACTCTGATTCCTATAAATATTTCTGACTGTAATAACTTTTAACATTCCTTACTGAAAGGATTACATAGTACACCAAGCTGGCATGAAAGATTAAAAACTCTGAATCAAAGGGCTGTAGTGACAGTACCAATTATGCCAGGTACAACTGAAATGATTTCTAAAACAATGAAGACTTCAAACATCAATGCTAAACCCCACACAGTAGCAAGCAACTTCAAAAGATGGTGATATTAACACCTGTAACACCGTGACAATCATACATACCATTGTCAGAAACCTTCAGACTGAACATGTAATGCTGACTTAATATTTTAGTTTCCATACAAACAAATGAGATACTGGAATTACAGTTATGAAGTGCATATGTATGCATGTATGAATACCACATGTTAGTTGATAAGGTTATGGTTCTTCAGGGATGTGACAGGTACCAAAATTTCTTCTGGACAGAATGTTGATACCTACCTACCAAACTACACGGTGTCACATGCAAGAATACAGTAATTTTCATACTCACTTCTGTGAGAATTTCAAATCTAACTATTCTCAAGTAGTTACTATAGGATTCTGACGATGGTGTATAACACACAGAGATATTGGGTTTTTGGACTGTATCCATCATCCTGGTTTTAAGATAACTAAGAAAAACATGATGTTTTGGAAACTGGATCTGTTTCCGTCCTCAGGTGAGGGAAAACACCTATTCTGTTGGGTCCCTTAGAAAGAGCTAGCCTCAATCACTGGACAACCAATGTCACAAAACACAAAGGTTATAAACACCTGAGACCAGGCTAAGTCCAAGAGAGCTAATAAGAAAAATATACATTACAAATTGTTCCAAACATATACAAGCGTGGAACCAGGATAGATAGAGCCATGTGGCTCTGGGAATATAGGCATAACCTCAAAGGAGGTCTTCTAGAAAAATCTAAACTAGCTCAACATGCCTATGAAGAGGGCCATTGGGTAGGCTGGGATGAAGCTAAGATTTTGGATATTGAAAGCCACATCAGGTATAGGAAATACAAGAAGTGGCCCATATGGCATGCTCGGCCAACTCAATTAGCCAACCCAGTTTGGACTTTTCTCCCATTTGGATCCCCATTATCAGCAATGAAGTCACCAATTCACATAGAAGATCTGTATGACGTGATATATGTCTTTATTGATTTCTGTTAGGTTCTAAATTAGATAGACGTGATTTACTCCATTGCTGATGCTAGTTAGACACTATTAAGTTTTTACTAGTTCTCCTTTCTATTCCATGCCTTGGGGTCATGGACCTGGTTATTAGTTTGGTTTCATGACATAAATTTCTACGGCTCTATCTATCCTGGTTCCACACTTTTACGTATTTGGAACAATTTGTAATGTATATTTTTCTTATTAGCTCTCATGGACTTAGTCTGGTCTCAGGTATTTATAACCTTTGTGTTTTGTGGCATAGGTTGTCCAGTGTTTGAGGCTAGCTCTTTCTAAGCTACCCAACATAATAGGTGTTTTCCCTCACCTGAGGATGGAAACAGATCCAGTTTCCAAAAGTCATATTTTTCTTAGTTATCTTAAAACCAGAATGATGGATAAAGTCCGAAAACCCAATATCTCTAACTATTCTCTAATGTAACAAATCTACTGTATTTACCAAATATAGATATATCCAGAGTTTAGAGGCTTAATTACCTCTATTACCTTAGGACTGTGAAATTCACAGATTTTAGGCAGTAAATTCAAGGGGAAAAGTGCACCTTATACTTTGTAAAATATAGTAGCTCTCTGGTTACCAACATTTAGCCAGAAAGGTACTATATTTTACAAAGTATGACAGTCTTCTTCCTAAAACTTGACCTATGATCCATTATAATGGATAATTATCAGCATTCAAATAATTCTTAAATATGTGTTCACATCTCATCATTTTTGCCAAACCAAATTATGCAGAATACTTCAGTCTGCAATTGCATCTCATAATGGTAAAACATAATTTATTTTCTACCCCCCCCCCTTTGTTCAAAAGAAGTCTACCTTATGTTTATGGAAGCAAGGTATGCACCCACCTGCAAATCTGCCTTCACACCATTTGTGGGGGCTTGGTCACAACCCAGGGCTGCTGAAGCCAATGTAGCAAGGGCACCTGAGTCTGAATCTATGTCATCTAGCTGCTCAGTCTTCATCTGGCCAGTTTCTGACTTATCCTCTTCCCCCTGGGATGCAGTAAGAAAAGGCTGCTCACTTCTTTTGGTGTTCTCTGATGACTCCTTTCCTCTCTCAGATGTTGCATGGGATTCTTGTTCATTGCTGGCATTTGGAGCTTCTCCTTGATTCTGGGAAGAATTTGTAGCTAACCCTTCTTCTAATGTACCATTTCCAGTAGCAAGTTGTTGTCCATTTTGTATCTGGTTACCATTATCCTGGCCATCCATATTTTCTTCATCTCTGGGGCTACCATTATTATTACCTCCAAGGTTAACTCCGCTTCCTCCATGTGAATCTTGTATATTAGAAATATTTCCCCTATCTTCATTGTCTGCTTCTTGTTTGTCATTTACATTCCCTCCAGGATTTTCTTGCTTATTAGGAAGAACATTCATATCTACATCACCTTCCACCTCTGGTTCTGTTTCTTGTGGTGCAGCTTCATCAGCTGCTGTGGGAGGTTCAGCAGTGTCTGTGGCTGGATCTGGATTCAAGTCTTCATATGAACCTAGAACTGGAACAGCTTGATTGAAATCCCCATGGGTATCTGAGTGAGCAGGCTGAACCACCATGCCCTGATTCTCCAAGTCTCCAACTTGACCATTGATGGGATTCTGTGGTAAATGAACATCAGACTGCAGAGGGTTCTGGGAAAAAGGAAGAGGAATATCCAGTAAATTTGGGGTTATATTTTCTGTTCCATCTTCAGCATGTTCTTCCATCTGTGCTATATCTTCATCTTCATCCTCCTCTTCATCTTCATTTTGCTGTCCCACATATTCAGGATCTGGAAAGCCCCCATAGCCACCAGGATGTGGAGGGTCACCCCCTGGATTACCAGCATTGCCCCCTGCATTTCCATTCTCTCCCCCAGCTACAGGATTGTCAGTGGTACCAGGGTTCTCAGATTGAGTCCCAGATGTTCCTTCACTGACTCCCTGACTTCCACCTTCACTATTTCCTGATGTTCCTCCATTATTATCTGGATTTCCACAAGTTTCAATGCCCATTCCCAAACCTTCTGGATGGCCATTTGTTTCAGCACGAAAAAGATCATTTTCTACAGGCACTGAAGCCTCATGAGGAGATTCTGGATCAATCAGGCCTGCTTCTGCTGCCAGTGCAGCAAGTGCAGCATCTGTTGTTGCTGGTCCATCTGTTGTTGATGCTGAATATGAATAAAGATTCTTCATAAAATTAAATATAGACTTTACTGTCTTACTTACTTACTGTACTGTATGTTCTGATATATTTCTGGCCTCATATTACTGAAGCTCCTAAGTTAAACATAATGTAAGATATCTGGAACTACATTAAACAATTACTGGTCATTACATTACATGACTGGTAACATGGACAATACAAAAAATATGCACTACTAGCTCTATGTATAACACTGCTAGGTTCAGTGTTAAAAAGCCTGCCATTTTACTTAACACTGGCTCAGTTAACCTTTAAATGCCGGACTTCTGAAATAGTGGTAAGCTTGAGCTGGCCGGAGTTTATTTAAATGCCCGTTGGTACTCTGCGTTTAAATGTCTGTTTCTGTTAGTGCGCCTAAACAATTTTAAGCATTGTGTTTAAAAATGCTGTATCTAACTCAATTTTTATGATAAATGGATGGAATTAATTTTGTTTGTATCAGCAAAGAACATACTGTCGCATATTATAACGGAAGATTTGAAATGTTTTATCCAGATTATACTCCTTTTCAATTTTTTGCCTTTTAATTTTGATGAGTACTGCAAAAATGATTTCTCAGTTCTTCACAGAGTTGTTCTGCATTACAAATTCATTTCTGTTTGTAACACTTGACAAATTTTAGCAGTCCCTGATGTCATAAAACAGATGGACGCAATAAAATCAT